TTTGTAATAATTCTTTAGTATATTACTTGTGTGATATAAGAATGTTAACACTGTTATAATTCTTTAGTATATTACTTGTGTGATATAAGAATGTTAACACTGTTATAATTTTTTAGTATAATACTTGTGTGGGTAGAAGTGAATCATTTACTGCTTGCAAACCAATGATGGTAAGATGATGTCATGGCAGTCCTACCCCTAAGTCTGACTTCTTCCTACTCCATTCAAGCATGTACTAGGTATAAGCACATTAATATTGGATTAGCATTTGTTGGATATGTGTAAAATTATGTGTGTTGACATATCAACTGTCTTTACATGCTTGAAAGAAAAGAATAAATCAAATCAAATCAAATCAAATGCAGACCCAGGTGAGAGTCTTAGAATTTAAACAGTTTAATATAACTTAGAAGGACAAGGAACAAAAGGGGCAACCAGATGATCAACCTGACAGCAAGATACAAATGGGTATAAGAAAAACATAACAAACATAGATCAATCAGGGAGTGGCATAAAACAATTGAAACAATGTGTTTTTAAAAGTGTTTTGCTTATGACTTAGCTGCAGCTAAGGTTGACTCTAAAGGTCCACTCTAAATTGCCCATGAGTGAGAGTTGTTCGTATACATTGTGACAGACTGAGATGTCCTGAAATGACTTTTGTTCTGATTTTGCACCACACAAATAAATTAGAATTTTAATTTAAATAATGGATGGATGGTGCTATATTCTTTCTGTATTTGTTTGTGTGTCATAAATGATCATGTCTAAGCTAAGCTAATGCTAAGCTAACCAGCTCCTGGCTGTAGCTTCACATTGAAAATATTGATATGACAGTGGTATCAGTCTTCTCATTTAGCTCTTGGCAAAAAATCAAATTGTTTTTCATGAAATTGAAAACAGGAAATAAATTGCTAAAGTTGCAGAAGTAAAAGTCATTGTCATTGCAGATGGCATGCGGCCTGGACTCATTAATGATAACATTTCTTGCAGAAAATCCATGTGAATGTTGACTGCTGAATAAATTGCCGTAGCATTGCTGAAGGTGGCTGAAATGTTTAAATACTTAAGTGAGAAGTAGAAATAAAATAGCTTAAAGCTGTAAAAGGATAGAAATATTGGTCAGTATAAATGTTATCATGTATTTTACATCACTGTTCTGATGGCATTTAAGTATCTTGGGGTTCATGAGTG